TACCCCACCTTGGGGACCTACCTGCCAAGGAGAACAGAACACCACTGGCTTTGACACCCCTCTCTCAACAATGATGGATGAATGCTGGAAATCTACCTTCTCAGGTGGCTTTGTCTAACTTCATCTTCCTTAGGCTGACTCTCTTTTTTTCTTCCTCTCAAATGTTTTTATTATGAAACATCTCATTTAAAAGTTCATTCAAGTACATTTAAAAGTACACTTAAAGAGTGCCTTTTGAAAGTACGGATGAAAACACAATGAATACCTCTGTACTGATCTATTTGCTTAAGAAAAATATTTCAGACACAGCAGGAACTCAGTTGCTTGGTTCCAAGACCCTTCTCACTACACTGAACTTGGTGAACATTCTTTCTTCAGGTGTGTTTATAATCTTATCACATATGGACCTGTCCCCCAATAATTTTTTTTTCTAGACATCATATTAATGGTATCATACCAATTATCCTCCTACGCTACTTAATTTTTCATTCAACGTTGTTTTGGGGGACTATCCATGTTGATACACGAATTTGGGCGTGTTCATTTTTTACCCTTCTGAAATATCCCCTTATGGAAAGAATCCCTAGTGTGTCTATCTGCACTCCTAATTGACAGGCATTTAGACTGTTTTCCATTTTTCCTAATTACAAGTAATGCTGAGTGAACATTCCTGAACACATGTGTGAGGCTGTCTCTGGAGCACAAGCCAAGGAATGGAATTCTTAGGTCATAAGGAATGTGTGCCTCCAGCCTTAGTCAATATTGCCCACTGGTCTCCAGTCTGATCTTATTAATTTATGCTCCCACTAGCACTGTATATGAGCCTTTCTTTCACATCTTGCCAACTCTTGCCAATCTGATAAATGGGAAGTGGTAACTCATTATCATTTGAGGGTGTATTCCCCGTATACTACCTGAGATCTTAACACCTGTGTACTGCACATTCTGGTTCCTCTTTGGCAAATTGCCTCGGCATTAAGGTAGCCAATGTTTCTTGCCACCTACGGTGGTTGAGTCAGAATGCTTAATTACTTGGAGGTAAAAAACCACCTGGCTGAAATAGCCATCCCTGAGGCTGCCTGCTGGAGATAAGAGATGCTCCATCCATCTTCAGATCCTTTCTTGGAAACGTGGAGCCAGGCCAGCCATGCAGGCTTTTCTGATGCTGCCCTCGTCCACAGTAGCATCCCCACAGCCTGGATCCATTATTCCCAGCATTACGATGGCTACTTTATTTCCTTGACAGAGCCCAAAACCCATAGCTGAAGCCTCAGGCCTGCCCTAATGTGCTTAGAACAGGGTCAAAAGCAACGCCAACCAAAATGGGGAAACCAGTATCCTGCTCAGTCACTGCTGAGTCAGCACAAATCACTCCAGAGGACAGCTTGTCACTGACCTCAAAGACTCAGTTACGAAGGTGCTCACCATTGTTTATCGTAGGACCAAAAAAAGGAACCACCTAAATGTCTCTAAATGTCCAACATCATGGTTTGAAAAAATAAGGAATGGTACATCCTTCCATGGAAGGTACTTTAAAGCCACCCAAAATCATACTGCACATGGATACACAATGTCAAGGAACCTTGCTCAGGAGTCCTAAGTTGGCGTCCATGGACTCCCAAGGAGATGCTTATCAAAGGGAGTTGGCACCCCCTGAGATGCTCATGAAAGTGCAGATTTCTGTGCCCCACTCCAGACTGAATCTGCCCTTCCAGCTTGGCGAGCAGGAATTCTAACAAGTTCCCCAGATGCGTCTCAAGCACACTAAAGCCAGAGCATCAGTGCCTGAGACCCAAAATAGGGAAGAAGCACTCTGGTGTATCAAGAGGAAAAAAGCAAATTACACACAAATGCAGTGTGTTTAAAAACCACCCCCTTCATGTGAGTGTGGGTGTGCATGTACTTCTGGAAAAAAAAAAATGGCCAGGTGCGATGGCTTACGCCTGTAATCCCAGCACTTTGGGAAGCCAAGGTGGATGGATCACCAGAGGTCAGGAGTTTGAGACCAGCCTGGTCAACATGGTGAAACCCTGTCTCTACTAAAAAAAACAAAAATCAGCTGAGCATAGTGGCTGGCTCCTGTAATCACAATTACTCCACAGGCTGAGGCAGGAGAATCGCTTGAACCCAGGAGGCAGAGGTTGCAGTGAGCTGAGATCGCGCCATTGCACTCCAGCTTGGGAGGCCAATGCGGATGGATCACAAGATCAGGAGTTTGAGACCAGCCTGGCCAATATGATGAAACCTCATCTCTACTAAAAATACAAAAATTAGCCAGGCATGGGGGCAGCTGCCTGTAGTGCCAGCTACTCAAGAGGCTGAGGCAGGAAAATCACTTGAATCTAGGAGGCGGAGGTTGCCATGAGCTGAGATCATGCCACTGCACTCCAGCCTGGGTGACAGAGAGAGACTCCATCTCAAAACATATTTATTTATTTATTTATTTATTTAAGGGACAGGGTCTTACTGTGTCACCCAAACTGGAGTGCAGTGGCATGATCTTGGCTCACTACAGCCTCAAACTCCTGGGCTCCAGTGATCCTCTACACTCAGCCTCATGAGTAGCTACAGGCATGCCCCACCACACCTGGATTTTTGTTTTGTTTTGTTTTTTTTGGACAGACAGAGTCTGACTCTGTATTTGTGCTCCCTGACGGGTATTAAATTCTTGGCCTCAAGCGATCCTTCCTCCTCAGCCTCCCAAAGTGTTGGGGTTACACAGGTGAGCCGCCATGCCTACCCTGTGTGTGTGTGTGCTAATAGCTACCTAGATAACAAAACTTAAGAGCAATTACTTCTAGATTACCTCAGCACCATGGACACTCGGGCAGATGACTCTTTCGGGTGGGGTGTCCCCTGCGCTGTCGGATGTTAGCAGTATCCCGGGTGCACTAAGTGTAACAATCGAAACTGTATTTGGTAGCACAAAAGGGCAACTATAGTTAACGATAATTTACTGTATATTTCAGAGTAACTAACACAGTGAAATTAGAATGTTCCTAACACAAAAAAAGATACACACTTGAGGTTATCTCAATCACCCTGATTTGATTATTACTTATTATATGTTTATATTAAAATATCACATGTAGTCTACATGTACAAATATTATGTATAATTTAAATTTATTTTAATTTTAATAAATAAATATTTAAAAATATCTGCAGATATTGCTAAATGTCCCCTCAAGGAACAAGATTCCCAGGTGGAGAACCGATTCTCTAGATGGGACATGCATAGATGATGATTTCATTTTTTAGTATCTAGCCTATTTTTTAGTTTTTTTCTAAAATAAATGTATTTTACCCATGTTAAAAAAGAAAACAGCTTTGTATTTCTTGCTGTCCCATTGCCTTTACTCTCTGAAAAAAATACACTCAAATGAAAAGATATTCACATTAATACTTAGAGTAAGAAAACTAATTTTATTATGATATTAAAATAGCTATGGAAAAACATATACAAAGGTCTCCCAAATGTCAGTATTCCTTAGACACCTTTGAACTATTTATAATCTTAATCTTTAGGCATCCTAATTGTAATTCTGTATCTTAAAGAAGCAATTCTAAATATGGGAAATGCCTCACAGATATGGTTGATTTTTAGAGTTACTTATAAAAGCAAAAAGTTATAAACACTCTAAAACCAGCCATAGGAAACTGCATTAGTTAAGGTACATTCACTTGATAGACTATCTTACAGCATTAAAATAATATGTATAAAGAACTTATAACAATATGGGGGCAAAGTTTATGCCATATTGTTAAGTGGGAAAATAACTGAATACAAAATCAAATATGTTGCATCATCATTTAAAGGTGTAATAATGACAACAAAAAGAATCACATCAACAGGTTTGGAAGAAATACATCAAGATATTAAAAGTAATTGTTGCCGGGTGCGGTGGCTCAAGCCTGTAATCCCAGCACTTTGGGAGGCCGAGGCGGGTGGATCACAAGGTCGAGAGATTGAGACCATCCTGGTCAACATGGTGAAACCCCGTCTCTACTAAAAATAAAAAAACTAGCTGGGCATGGTGGCGCATGCCTGTAATCCCAGCTACTTAGGAGGCTGAGGCAGGAGAATTGCCTGAGCCCAGGAGGCGGAGGCTGCAGTGAGCCGAGATCGCGCCATTGCACTCCAGCCTGGGTACACAAGAGCGAAACTCCGTCTCAAAAAAAAAAAAAAAAAAAAAAAAGTAATTGTTGGCTGAGCCCAGTGGCTCTTGCCTATAATTCCAGCACTTTGGGAGGCTGAGGTGGGAAGAGATCATGAGTTCAGAAGATTGAGACCATCCTGGCCAACATAGTGAAACCCTGTCTCTACTAAAAATACAAAAATTAGCTGGGCATGGTGGTATATGCCTGTAGTTCCAGCTACTCAGGAGGCTGAGGCAGAAAAATCACTTGAACCTGGGAGGTGGAGGTCACAGTAAGCCGAAATCACACCACTGCATTCCAGCCTGGCAACAGAGCAAAACTCCGTCTCAAAAAAAAAGTAATCATTAATTGAACAGTGGCAACATAGGTTACTTTTTCTCTCACTTTTCTGAAACATTCAAATTTTTTACAATAAACATGTATGTATTTACACTGAAAGAGAAAACCGTGAAATTTCTTTTTAAAAATACTTCAAAATGATCACAAAAATGTGCCGACATTTCAGGTAAGAAATGTTTTTATTTTGGCCTGTACACAAATTTCTATCCAGATGATAAAACTAACTTCAAGAAATTAAACCTATGCGGAAACAATATCAGCTCAATGTGATTGTGTCCCAATTCATCAGCTTTGAGAAGGATAAAATTTTTAAGTATAAATTACTAGGCAGGTGGTCAGGAGAAGGTTGTATGGAGTCGCATGATAAATGACACACAGAAGACGCTTTTTATGAAAAACAAACTGGATGGATTCTTTCCCAAACCATAATCACATTCTTCTAAATCATTTAGAAGGGAATAGAATAATTTCGGCTTGATTAGCATTTAACTACCCAAGGACAGATTCCAGCCACCTCATGGATTTTGATCTAACTTGTTTACACTCATCGGGGGTGACGGGCAGTTCCAGCCCACAGGAAGCGCAATCTTTGCAGACAAAAGGCGGCCCTTCTCATATTTGTCAGGCAATATTTGTCCAGCCTGGCCACTCCCAGGTGGTTCCAGTGAACTCTCTTGTTAGCTCACTCCTCGGTCTCTTGTGGACCCAGACTATATCTTACAATAGACCTCAAAGAGGGAGGCAGCTGCGTGCATTCGGTAGAAAATAGAAAAAGGCATGGCCAGATTGACCACAATTATCCAGGGTTCAAAGCCAAAGACAATCTCCTCCAATCCGTTGTCATACTCGGGTCGACAGCCAAAGGCGGGAGGTATCCAAAGCTGCAAGAGAAGAGATAATGGCCTGTGGTGGGGAGCAGCTTCCAAGCCACCGCGGAGGCCCCACTCAAGTCCAGGTCTCATGGAAGCCAACCTGGATGAGTCACCCCCGCCAGAACAGTAAGGAGACCTCACAACATTTCCCATGTGCACGGAAACCACCAAATCCTGCCTGCCAGGATCCTGCTCACTGCCTCACCCACGCTTCCCTGCAATCCATCCCGAGCGAGTGCTTTTTGAACCCATCCAATTCTCTCCATCCCTACAGCCCTTGCCCAGCCTCCGTTTCCTCATCTGGAAGATGGGAATACTAACACGTGTCTGAGAGGGCTTAGATGAGAACTAAGTTTTGAAAACTGAAAGCAATGACTTTTGATTGTGTTGCTCCCCAAGCCTACACGCTGTTCCCTGCTTCTCAGTCTCTTCCTTGTCCCAGTTCCCTCCTGCTCTGCCACCCCTTGAGCTGTCAGGCTTCTCAGGGCCCCAGAGCTCAGCCCTGGGCCCTCTCCCGCTTCAGACTGCACACTTCTTCAGCGTCCTCCACTCTTTGGCTGTGCTGGCAGGCTCTAGGATGACCCTGGATGATGCCCAGCTCCTGCAGTCACCCCTTTGTGGAGTCCCCACCCCTTGAGTGTGGGCTGCACCTAATGACCCGCTTCCAACTCACAAAAGACGGCAAAAGACATGGGAAGTCACTTCTGAAATTAGGTTGCAAAGGACCTGCTATCCCTCTTGCTCATCTTCTGTAAGACAGGCGGTAGCAGCCACGCTGCAAAGCACCCTCGTGCTTCAGGGAACTCAGAGCTTCAGTCCAACAAGCCACAGCTGAATCCTGCCAACAGCCACATGAGTAGATTTGGAAACAAATCCTCTGCCACCTCTCTCAAAGTCAAGCCTTGAAATGAATGCAGCCCCCGCCGACAGTTTCAGCCTGGGAATGGCCCTGTACAGACACAAGCTAAACTGTAGTTGGATTCACAAGCCAGAGAAACTATGAAACCATAAATGTACGTTGTTTAAGTTGCTGAGTTCTGGGGTAGTCTCTTGCATAGCAATAGGTAACTGAGACACGCAGCCTTCATTAGAACTCCATACAGAACCCTCCCTGCTATATACAGCCAAACTCTGCATCCAGGGATCTGTGTCTATGGATTCAACCAGCCACAGATCAAAAATATTCAAAAAGTAGGCTGGGTACAGGGCTCACACCTGTAATCCCAGCACTTTGGGAGGCCGAAGCAGGTGGATCACCTGAGGTCAGGAATTCGAGACCAGCCCGGCCAACATGGTGAAACCCCATCTCTACTAAAAATACAAAGTATTAGCCAGGCGTGGTGGCACTTGCCTGTAATCCCAGCTACTCGGGAGGCTGAAGCTGGAGAATCGCTTGAAGCAGGGAGGCAAAGTTTGCAGTGAGCCGAGATTGTGCCACTGCACTCCAGCCTGGGCAACAGTGAGACTCTGTCTCAAAAAATAAAAGTAAATAAATTCAAAAAATAAAATGGTTGGATGTGTCTGTACTGAATATGTACAGACTCTCTTCTTGCCGTTGTTCTCTAAACAATACAGTATAACAATTATTTACACAGTATTTAAATCGTATTAGGTATTTAAGTAATCTAGAGATGTCTTAAAGTGTATGGGAGGATGGGTAGGTTACATGCAAACACTGCCCCATTTTACATATAGGACTTGAGCACTGTGCATTTGGAATCTACCACGTGGGGCCTGGAACCAAGATCCCTCTCTTCTACTTTGTTCCCTGGCTGCTGTGACTCTTAGCAGCTCTCCTACCTCTTTGGCGGGTCCCTCCCATCTCCTTTGCTGTTTCATACTTTGCTCTGCCCCTTAATGTTGGCCGGCGGTCCAGGGCTCCTCCTTGGGTCCCTTTCTGTTCTCTATACACATGAGCCCCAGGGCTCTCTCCAGTACCTGGTTGTAAACACCCACTATGGGCCTGTGACTTCCCAAGCTAAATCTCCAGCCTGGACCACTCCCAAGAAGCCCAGGCTCATAGTTTCCGCTGGCAACTTGAGTGTCTAAAACACATCTCAAACTCAACCCACCTTCCCCATTTCTCCATCTGATCAGTGACATCCTCCTCCCAGGTGGTCCATCAAAGCTCCAGGTGTCATCCTTATCTCCCTCCTCCTCCCATAACCATGCCCCCTGCCATCCGGCCCATCAGCACATCCTGACTGTGCGCCTCCAAAGCAGTATCTACAGCCCACCTGTGGCTCTCTGTCTCCGCCTGTCCAGCCGGACTCTCTCACCTGGACCACAGCGGTGGCCTCCTACCTGGTCTCCCAGCTTGCACTAGGACTCCACTCAGCTACCAGATTAACTTTTTATGAAAATCAGATCCTGTCCCTACCTTGATTAAACCCCCAGAGTCTTCCCAAAATATTTAAAGTAAAATGTACACTCCCGCATGGGGTGATGAAGCATTCTGTTAACTGATTTCTAACCACTGTCTACGTTCTCCCCACTCACCCCACCCACGTGGCACACAGCCCTTCTTCCTGTTTCTCACACCAGGCCCGCTCAGTCCCACCAGGGGTTCTGCACCAGCCACTGTTCCCTCTGCCTTGAACATGCGCGGCCAGCCCTCCCTGTCTCACGTCACCCTTCAGCAAGGCCTTCCGGCTGAGCTGGTCCATCTGATCTACAATGGCTGCCCAAGAGCTGTCTCCCACACCCTCCTTCCCACTTCTCCACCTAACACATGTCACTACTGGGGGGTCTTTCTTGCTTGATGGTCTCTCTTGGTTGATGGTTTTGCTTGCTGTTGCCTGGTTTCTAAGCCCCAGAGGAGGAAGACCAGAGATCTTAGTCGTAGCTGTACCCTTACCATTCACAGCAGTGCCCGGCCCTCTGCAGGTATTCAAGGGACATGTTTTAAAGGAAAGGAGAGAAGGGGGGGGGGGGGAGACAGGGAGGAGAAAGGAGAAGAAAGGAAGGCGGGAAGATGGGACCTCTTCTGAAACCCACATCTTTCTATCTGCTGTTCAGTTGGCCGTAAATTCTTGTTACTTATCCTATTGAGAGGTGACCTATGATCTCTTTCCTTGAATCTGGATGGGCTCCGTCACTACGTGATTAATAAAATATGGCAAAAATGACCCCATGCAGTTTCTAAGCCCAGGCCTTAGGAGACAGGCTGTTTCCGGTTCGAACTTGCGTAGGGTTGGCTCTGGGACCCTTCAGAGTCCAATCACCCTGAGACAACAGGCTGGAGACCCACCTGCGGATGCCCCAGTCAGGGCTGAGCCCAGCCTCCCAGCCACTCCCACTCAAGGCACCAGACCATGGACCTTCCAGACAAGACTTCACCAGCTTCACCCGATGCCGTGAAGAACAGAACTGCCCATCCGAGCCCTGCCAGAATTTCTAACCCACAAAGCCATGAGTCACAATAAAAGCCATGAGACAAAAACAAAATCATTCCTGTTACTTCTGTCATACATTTGGGGCAGTTCGCTGCACGGCAACAGAAAACCAAAATATCTGCCTACTGGCTTTGTCCATTTGGATGCCACAGAGGCACCTGAAACAGAACAGGTCCAGTACTTAACTCTGGTCCTTCCTTCCACGCTGACCTCCACTCACTGCCCCCAAGGTTGCCCCTCCTCCAGGGTCCTCCGTGTCCAACCTAGTGTCACCGTCTCCCCAGGAACTTAAGTCTGAAAGCACAGGTCCTGCTTGGCATCTGTCACCCTTTGTAACTTGCAACCTGGAGACCCTGGAGGGTGTTATGATGAGTGAAATAAGCCAGTAACAAAAGGACTAATACTCCACAAATCCACTTATATGAGGAGTCTAGGAGTCAAATTCCTAGAGACTGAAAGAATGGTGGTTGTCAGGAGCGCGGAGAATGGGGACTCCGTATTTAATGGGGTAGAGTTTCAGTTTCGCTGGATGAGAATAACCTGGAAATGGATGGTGGTGATGGCTGCACCATGTGAACGTCCTTCACTCAACTGTACTCTTGAAAGTGGGTGCGGTGGGCAAGTTTGTGTGGTGTTTTTTTTTACCACAATTAAAAATATAATAAAAATAGACTGGTCATGGTGGCTCATGCCTGTAATCCCAGCACTTTGGGAGGCAGAGGCAGGCAGATCACCTGAGGTCAGGAGTTCAAGACCAGCCTGACCAACATGGAGAAACTCCGTCTCTACTAAAAATACAAAAATTAGCCAGGTGTGGTGGCACACACCTGTCATCCCAGCTACTCAGGAGGCTGAGGCAGGAGATCACTTGAACCCGGGAGGCAGAGGTTGCAGTGAGCCAAGATGGGCAACAAAAGTGAAATTCCATCTCAAATAATAATAATAATAATAATAATAATAAGCATGAGTCAGATCCCGTTGCTCACAGATTAGACCCTTCCATGGTTTTCTGTTGTGTTTAGCATGGAGTCTTGATCGTGGGCCCTGTGTGGTCTCCCCTCGGCCCTCTGCTCCGTGCTCCGGGGTCATGTCCGGTGAGCTCCGCCTTGCCTTGCACCTGTGCTTTCCCCGCACCTGCAGCTCTGCCCTGGGAGTCCCTCACCCCAGCCCCGTCCACACCCTTCCTTAGAAGAGGCCTTCCCTGAATCCAGTCTCCCACAGCGCCCTGCCCTTCTCCATCACCACACCCACCCTCTGTTGTCTCCAGGGTGCGGCTCCTGGAAATTCAACTAACGTTTCCAACTCTGTCTTGGCTGGAGTGGAAGCCATGCCTCCCAGACGTGCGCATCAGCACCTGCAGCTGGGGCTGTGGACCGGCTCCCCATGCTGGAGAAGACAGCTCTTGCTCTCTGCCAGACGCCTGTGGCACAACCTTGGGTCAACTGCAAGGTTTCAAAGTGCCGCCCAATGAACCAGCATTGACATCCTAAGACACCACCCTGTGGATTTCCATCCTCTGGTTCCGTCCCCATAACCCAGCCAGTGCCTGGGGGATCACGGGCCAAGCACACGGAGGGAGAAACGAAGCCCACCCTCCTCCCTGGACTGGGTCCTGGGTCTTGGGTCTGGCCTTCGGGTCCTGACAGACCATCAGCTGCCTCTTGATTCTGGGATTTCGGACTGCGCTATTTTTCTGCAAGTGGGTACAAAAATGCAAGCCAAGTATTTCACCCAGGGGTCAACCAAAAAGGCAATCACAGACAAACAGCTTTTCAGAACTTAGTTTTTAAAACATCTATTAGGCCAGGAGTGGTGGCTCACGCCTGTAATCCCAGCATTTTGGGAGGCCTTGGCAGACAGATCACCTGAGGTCAAGAGTTCGAGACCAGCCTGATGAACATGGTGAATCCCTGTATCTACTAAAAATACAAAAAGTTAGCTGGGCATGCCTGTAGTCCCAGCTCCTCAGGAGGCTGAGGCAGGAGAATCGCTTGAACCCAGGAGGCGGAGGTGGCAGTGAGCCGAGATCACGCCATTGCACTCCACCCTGGGCAACTGAGCAAGACTCCATCTCAATATATATATATATTAATCACAGGGCTTATATATATATATATATATATACACAAAAAGCATATGCCTTGAGGAGAATTCTAGAAAGAGCTCTGACTGTATAAGAGTTTGCATTTTGGAATACGCATCTCAAAAATATACAGCCAACTAGTATCCATCTCTCTTTTAACTCTAAATTCTTGGTTGGCTGCTGTGCCCCAGACATAGTCCTGGCATACAGCAGGTGCCTGACAAGTGTCTGCTGGATGGAGAAGAGGGTCTGCCTGCAGCCAAACTCTTCCGGCCTTCCCCCTTTCGAGCTCCTCCTCACTGCCTACCGAGCTGAAGGAAGCCAGGTGATCCAAGGCTGGGGAGGATCAGGTTTGCTCAGCAGACACACAGCCGTTCTGACTTCAGAAGGGACCTTCCCAGCTTCGCGTTCTTAGGGCGATAACAAAAGTCGCAGGCCCTGAATGCACCATCTGAAATTCAGGGGAGGAAGCTCAAAAGCCTCTGAGCTGCTGGGGCGACAGAGAACAGGCTTGATAATGGAGGCTGGTAGCAGAGAGCTAGCTTCAGCCAGAGTGATGGGCAGACACCTCTGTGGACTGGGGCACTCCCTTCCGGCCACCAGTCACCGTCTCTGCAGAGACTCACACAGTGGCAAAGGCTGCTTCCCCCTCCTTCTCACCAGCCCCACCATCCTTCCTCTGTGTCTCTAAAAATACCCCAATGGCATACAACGCTTCTGATTCCTTTTTCTTCTCTATCCCTCCATCACTGCCCGGGTTCAAGCTCCTGCCCTACTTGCCTGGGCTGTTGCAGGGCTTTCTCTCCCAGTCTTTCTGCTTCTGGCCCCATCTGTCTCCATCCTTGCTACACACAGCTGCTGAGAGGATCACTCCAAAGCGCAAATCTGAGCAAGTCCTCCCTTACCCTCAGCATAAAGACTCCAGCCAGGCATAAGAAGCCCTGCTCAAGCCAGAGCCCACCTAGCTGGGCCCCCTCTCCTATATCACATTCTGCGGCTCTGCTTAAAACACGTGGAATTTATGCCAAACTACCTGGTGCTCCCAAAGCATGCCATGGAGTCTTTTGCCTCTGCGTCTTCACACACTGTGTGCCTCTGCCTGAAATGCTTTTCCCTGCCTTGATCATCTGGTGAACTTCCAGTCACCCCTTGCTGATGCAGACAAGATGGGGTGAGTGACTGTTCACTTTCCTCACCCCTGTTACCTTCTGTCAGAGAGGCTGGAAAGCAAACCATCCACTTCCCCAGCCTCCCTTGCAGCTAGGGGTGCCCACGTGAGAGACACTGCCTGGCACCAGCCCTTCCCATGCTTTCTGTCCTGAATCCATTTGTGATGCCTGGTGCAGCTGCAGCCACCTCGTAACCACGTGGCAAAAGCACCACACCACCCATATGACAAGATGAACAGTGCCTTGATGCCTGATGACATGGCTCAGCTGCCAGGCCAACCCCAAGCAACCAACCTCCAGAATTCTCATGAGATAATAAAACATTGTTAAGACTGAAGACACTGCAAATCAAACTGCCTATCACTTGCAGCCAAAAGCACTCCTGATTGGCACTGGGCCTCACTCTAGCACCCCCTCCTCACTGAAGTCCTTCTGGATCCCTGCTCCTAGTACACTTTGACAAGCCTGTCTCAGCACTTGTCCTGCTCACCGTATTAGATTTTCTCACTGTCTCCCTCCCCCATCATATTGCGACCTTTTAGAGGAAAGAGACTTAGTCTTTCCCCTTTAATTTTTAGTGCCTGGCCCAGCCCCTAGCACACAGCAAGACTTCAGTAGGTAATTTGTAGAATATAGGTCTACTTTCCAACCTCATATTTTAATTTTGTCCTTACAGCATTTTTATTACTAGCTGCCTCCATGTCTTATTTTTAAAAGGCAAGAGAAACCTCGATGTCCATCAGTAATGGACTGGACAAAGAAAATGTATTATGGCCGGGTACAGTGGCTCACATCTGTAATCCCAGCACTTTGGGAGACTGAGGCGGGAGGACTGTCTGACCCCAAGAGTTCAAGACAAGCCTGGGAAGCACGGTGAGAACCCATCTCTGCCAAAAAGAAAGTTTTGGCTGGGCTCACACCTGTAATCCCAGCACTTTGGCAGGCTGAGGCAGGCAGATCACTTGAGATCAGGAGTTCAAAACCAGCCCTGTCAACATGGTGAAACCCCATCTCTACTAAAAATACCTTTTTAAAATTAGACAAGTGTGGTGGTGGGCACCTCTAAGCCCAGCAACTCTGGAGGCTGTGGCAGGAGACTTGCTTGAATCCAGGATGCAGAGGTAGCAGTGAGCCAAGATCATGCCATTGCACTCCAGCCTGGGCAACAAGAGTAAAACTCCATCTCAAAAAAAAAAAAAAAATTTTTTTTTAATTAACCATGTGTGATGGCATGTGCCTGTGGTCCCAGCTACTCAGGAGGCTGAGATGGGAAGATTGCTTGAGCACAGAAGGTCAAGGCTGCAGTGAGCTGTGATCGCGCCACTGCACTCCAGCCTGGGCAGCAGAGTAAGACCCTGTCTCAGAAAATAAATAAATAAATAAATAATATGGTAGCTATACACCATGGAATATTGTGAAACCTTAAAAAAGAATGAAATCGCATTCTGTGCAGCAACTTGGATGGAACTGGAGTCCTTATCTCAAGTGAATTAACACAGGAACAGAAAACCAAATACCACGTGTCCTCTAAGTGGAAGCCAAACACTGAGTGCTCACGAACACAAAGATATGAACAATAGACACCACTAGGGACTACCGGAGTGGAGAGGCAGAAGAAACCTACCTATTGGGCACTATGCTCACTACCTGGGTGACAGGATCATTTTTGCACCAAACCTCAGCAACATGCAATCTACCCATGTAACAAGCCTGCATGTGTACCCCTTGAACTGAAAATGAAAGTTTCAAATAAAATTAAAATAAGAATAACTTGGTGCGGATTACCGAAATATTGCAGAGGAACAAGAAGGCTGCAATATTCCTCAAGACTTTTCTCTTGGCGTTGCCCTGTAAGAAACAGGGAAGGTGGGCTGGGCTGGGGCTCTCTCCCCAGCTGCTCTCCTCCCGCTTCTCGTCCTCCTTGCCACAGCCTTCTCTCACGTGCACATTTCCGTTGGCTGCTGGTGGCGTGTCCCTGCTCCGGGGAGCCACATCTTCAGCCACGCCTCCACTCTTGAGGCAGAAAGAAGCAAGGGGCATGGTGTTGCCATTGCAGACGGTGACCACCCGAAGGGTTCGGATGTCCTCAGAGAGTTTTTCAGGCTCTCGGTGAATGGACTCGATGATGAAGAGGTTCTGGACATATTTCTCCAGGATCACGAGGATGGAGTAAGGCAGGTTGTACCAGGTATAGCTGGGGTGGTTCTCTGCACAGAGGATGGCCAAGATTGAGCCCCAGGAGATAAGCCAGGAGCCAGAGGCAGTGCCCACCAAGAGGTCTGAGTCCAGTTTGCGGGCCGGATTTTTGGACTCATCCAGTGATTTTTCATCCATCCTGTAAATCCGGATTCCAGCCAGCCCCGCAGCCCCCATCAGCATCAGCAGGGTGATGGCATACAGGTAGAACATGATGAGTGCCGACTCGCTCTTGGTCTTGGAGCGCCCAATATGAATCAGGTACACCACCACCACACCAATGGTGGCGGCCAGCGCAGTCAGGCCCAGGGCTGCGCCCACCACGACCCCGTCAGACTTGATCTGCATTTTCGGGTGCTGATGGCTGTCAACTTTGCGCCCGATGTTCTTCCATAGGACGTAGAGCATGGTGGAGGCCAGGATCTGATACTCTATGTTGAAGGGGTAGAGGTAGTAGATCCCGTGGGATATGGCAGTGCAGAGAGTTGGGGGCGTGCAGTTACACTGCGGTGTGTGGTCATCTAGAACTGGGGGAGACAGGTAGAGCACAAGGGAGGGCAATGAGCGGGTGCGAGGGGAGGCAGAAAAGCCCAGAAAGCCATTTCCACTGCGGATTCATGCTTGATCTTCCCACCGGATTACAAGCTTTATCATGTCATGGCTTATTATCATGTTTAATATCATAGCTAAGTTGATAGCCATGAGTATCCCCAGAGCATATTCATTACCTCAATCACATTTATTTGGCAGGTTGCCAAAGACAATAAACACAATGACTGTACTGCTGTAAGAAATAGATATGCATACGGCAGACAGATGGATAGACAGACACACAGATGGAAAAATCTGGAAGGACACAAACTAAAAATGTTAGCAGTGGTTATCTCTGGGTGGAAAATGACGGGAGATTTTTAATCTTTTCTAGATTTTGCTTCCCTGTATTTTCTAACTTTTCTAAATTTACATGTGTGATTTTTAAAATTATTTTTAAAAAATACTTTGTAAATGCCATTTTTAATTAGCAAAAGATATGCCTCTTATGACTCCAGTGCTAGCAAGCGTGCAGGAGACGGGTGTTCTCCAGCACCAGTGTGGGGAAAGCAAGTGGGCACCACCTTCTGGAAGACAAGCTGGTGGCGGTATTGAAGGGCCCGCTTCACAGGGTGGGAGATGCTGCAAGTAAATGACGAAACATGTCACGAAAGCCCTAAAGACGACACAGTCTCTGACCCATAATTCCATCTACCCTCCTACTCAAAGGGACAAATAAAGAATGTAATCAAAGAGTCAGGTAAGACCAGGCGCGAGGCACACTGTCTCAGGCCTATAATCCCAGCACTTTGGGAGGCTGAGGCGGGTGGATCACTTGAGGTCAGGAGTTTGAGACCAGCCTGGCCAACATAGTGAAACCCCGTCTCCATTAAAATTACAAAAATTAGCCAGGTGTGGTGGCATGCCTGTAATGCCAGGTACTTGAGAGGCTAACACAGGCGAATCACTTGAACTTGGGAGGCAGAGGTTGCACTGAGCCAAAATCACGCCGCTGCACTCCAGCCTGGGCAACAGAGTGAGACTCAGTCTTGAAAAATAAAGATAAAAAAAGAGTCAGATAAAATTGTGTGTGTGTGAGAGAAAGAGAGAGACAGAGAGAGAGAGAGAGAGAGAGAGAGAGAGAGAGAAGAAAAAGAAAGAGAAAGAGAGAGAGAAAAACACCTCAGTGTCCAACAATTTAGAAATTGGTAAGTAAATTTTAGTATACCCCATCAATGGGATAGTAGACAGCCACTGCAGATTATAATTGAGATGTGCTTTATGGTTTTTGTTATTTTTGATGTGTGTTTGTTTGTTTGTTTTGAGACAGAGTCTCCTGTTGCCCAGGCGGGAGTGCTGTGGCACAATCTCTACTCACTGCAACCTCCGCCACCTGGGTTCAAGCGATTCTCCTGCCTCAGCCTCCCGAGTAGCTGAGACCACAGGCATGCACCACCACGCCCAGCTAATTTTTATATTTGCTGTAGAGACAGAGTCCGCCATGTTGGCCAGGTTGGTCTTAAACTCCTGAGCTCATGCTATCTGCCCACTTCTGCCTCCCAAAGTACTGGAATTAAAGGCATGTGCCACCACACCCAGCCAGGATGTGTTTTGATAATATAAGAAAGTAATCCCATTTCAAGGAAAATGGAAAAAGTAAGAACAAACTGTATATCTATTTTTTAAATGTAAGCCACAACCCAGTATCAGGCTGTAAAATCAAGTAGCAACCAACTGTTTTGTAGCAGAATAAATTTGCAGTGGACTAGAATAGGATAGAATGGAGTAGAATCAACTATAAGAAAATTTGAGAGTGTCTCTGATATAGTAAAATTAAGTATTATTTTGTCACACACATATTTATGTGTTGGTTGCAATGTAAAATCTGACTCATTAAAAGGTTGCAATAAAAAAAGATCAAATGTATGGTATAAAATCAACCATAAATAAATGGCACACTATGAAAATAAAACAAACATTCACAGCATTTACTGCATTTCTGGGTAAGTGCTGTGGATTTTTTTGAGATAGAGTCTCACTGTCACCCAGGCTGCAGTGCAGTGGCATGATCTTGGCTCAATGCAACTTCCGCTTCCTGGGTTCAAGCGATTCTCCTGCCTCAGCCTCCTGAGTAGCTGGGACTACAGGTGCACACCACCACGCCCAGCTATTTTTTGTATTTTTAGTAGAGACACGGTTTCACCATGTTGGCCAGGATGCTCTCCATCTCTTAACCTCGTGATCCATCTGCCTCGGCCTCTCAAAGTACTAGGATTACAGGCATGAGCCACCGTGCCCAGCTCAGATGTTTTTCTTCACACTTTTTCATTGTTTTAGTTAATGATATGTATATATTACTTTAAAAATCTGAGAAAAGCTACATAATAGCATTAATTTTACTTTTACAGAACATGATACAATTTTCTTTTTTTTTTTTCTTTCTTTTTTTTTTGATATGGGGTTTCCGTCTGTTCCCAGGCTGGAGTGCAGTGGCACAAACACAGCTCACTGCAGCCTGGACCTCCCAGCCTCACGTGATCCTCCTGCGTCAGCCTCTCATGTAGCTAGGACCACAGCCCGTGCCACCATGCCTGGCTTTTTCTGGCAGAGATGGAGGTTTCCCTTTGTTGCCCAGGCTGCTCTCAAATTTCTAGGCTGAAGCGATCCTCCTGCTTTAGGATTACAAGTGCTCAGATTATAGGCATGAGCCACTGCACTCGGTAATAATCTTCAATTCATACAGGGTTTCCCTAGCACTTACAATTCAATACGGTGTTATGCAGAAGACAAGGGAAGAAATCAGGAGGAAATGCTCAGATTAACAGAATGTTAGATCTGACAGCGTCCTTTTGTAGAAAATTAATCCAACCTCATCTTTCACAGAGGGTCTTGAAGCCAGATTGCTGGGATTCAAATCACGGCTCAATCATGTATTCACTATGTTCCCCTGGGCTAACTTCTCTGTGGCTTAATGGCTTTATTCAGATGAGGTTAATAATGCCCACCTGAGGCCAGGTGCGGTGGCTCACACTTGTAATCCCAACACTTTGGGAGGCCGAGGTGGGTGGATCACAAGGTCAGGAGTTTGAGACCACCCTGGTCAACATAACAAAACTCCGTCTCTACTAAAAATACAAAAATTGGCTGGGCATGGTGGTACATGCCTGTAGTCCCAGCTACTCAGGGAAGCTGAGGCAGGAGAGTCACTTGAACCCAGAAGGCTGAGGTTGCAGTGAGCTGAAATTGCACCACGCACTCCAGCTTGGGTGATAGGGAGAGACTCCATCTCATAAATAAAAAACTACCTGAGAGTGTAAACTTTCAAGAACAGTGTCAGACACTCAGCAAGTGCTTAACAGCAATTTGTTTTTGTTATTATTGTCATTGCTGCTACTGATATTGATACCAAGGAGGACATGAGGCCCAAACGCTAAGAGTGGCTGCTGGTTGGAGGTGGTGCTTGCGTTGACTCTACCCCACTGATGAGGAAACAGGTTCAAAGTGACTTTCCAGGACAGCCGAGGGTTACACAGCTAGCATAGACTTGCTGCACGGTAAAGCCAGAAGGGATCTTTGCAAGTACATGATTTGGACACCCTCACTTTACAAATGAGAAAAGGGAGGCTCAGAGAGGTTAAATGTCTTTCAAAGGTCACACAGCTTGTACATGATAGGAACAAGCCTGAGACACCCAGTTCCCTGCCCCACATCCCCCTTGGCCTGAATGTTCTAACACAGAAGTGACATAATGTAAAATGCTAGAGGATTTTAGAAGAAAATAGAAAGATTAACCCAACAGGCTCTCAAATACGAGCAAGGGGGAACAGCCATCAGCTAGAATTAAAAGCAAAGTAGTTAGATTAAAACTTTAAATGAACTACAGCCAATAAACCACAACCTACCATTAGACTTGTAGGAATTTTTAAAAGCCATACTTTTACCAGAAAGAACTGGTAATAGAGGCTTAATTAAAAAGACAAGCAGAGGCAACCATCAATCTTCTGTAGTTGAAAACAAAGACCTTTATTTCTGCAGCAAACTGGACCATGAGAAATGGCCATCAGAATGATCACCGTGGGTCTTCCAAATCCCTGAGTCATGGAAGAAATCTTTAATTATGCTCAGCACATATCACTTATGAGAGATTGAGGTTTTGGAAGATTTTCAACAACAGGGCCTGTCTGGCTGGTGCTAAGTTGGATGGCCTGCAATTCTTTGGGACCTGCACTCCATCTCTGAAATCTACAGGTTTCCAAGATATTCCAACATGGCAGAAGGGCCACTCACCTCTCTCACCACTCACCTGTTGTTATGTTCCCAAAGCCCAGAGTAATGAGCCGTTCCTTGTGCTCATTGAGTTGGTGCTTTGACTCATTGAGGACACCGTTGGCCCACAAAAGCAGGTTGGTGAACACTGAGTGGATCACCCCAAACCTGAAAAACACAGGGACTCTGTCCTTGTGCAGCCCTGGGAAAGCCTCAAGCCCCATGGGGTGAGACAGACGTGTGCACACAGTCACACGGCTCCTTCTTAGACATGGTTTCTGGTTTCACCTGGCAGCTCAGGTTCTGGGTGGGTCTCCTGCCTGGCAGGGAGGGGCAGTTCCATGAAACTTTCCAAACCCACAGAATCTTGGCATTCAGCCTTAGTCTTGAACTCACCAGTACTCAACGCAATGCCTACAGAACATCAAAGAAGCTGAGTCTCGGAAGCAGAGCTGGAGGGGTGAAAATTTACTAAAAGCAGACAACCAAAGAGACCACTTGTCCATATTCTGCCCATGGGAAAAATGGTCCAACTGCATCCTCAACTTTGACCCTGCCTCTCCTCTGAGTTTTAACCTCAGCTGATTTCTCTGAGGCTCTCCCGGGCAACTGCAGGCAAAACCTCGCCTCATTTGAACCCTGGCTTCCTTTGGCATAATGTCCAAACACAACTGGAGAAGGAAACAGAATCCCAGGGTGTCTGAGTCAGGTGTTTGCCCATCTGTTTGCCCCTTGCGCTTGCCCAGTTGCTGTAGATCCTGGCCAGGCATCTGGGAGGCATTCTATAGAGCCTTTGACAAAGGCAGACAATGCTGTTTGCCTCACACTGGCTGGCTTTTCTTTTACTCGTAATGTGCACAGCTCCTCTTTCTTCTCTCTTTTTTCTGGTCCAAATGGCACTATCCAGTCCCAGGCCCATTGAACCCAGGGAGGTAGCACTGTTGCCACACATGGCTATAAACTGTTCTACCACGCAAGCTCCCTGCGAGCTGGCAGCCTCCTGTTGGCTTGATCTGGAAACGGTCCACAAACCAATGGCAGATGTCATTTTCCCATGCCAGGCTGCCTGCATCCCAGACTACAACATGGGGAAGGTTTCCATGAGCCATTTGTAATCTCAGTGTATGTTTCCTTCATCTGTATGTGTGTGCGCATGGTGTTTTCTTACATGGTAACAATGCCTTGCGTTTAGCTGATTCACTCCATTATCCCGTCAATGCTTTCCCTCCATCCTCACAATCACCTGGGAGGGTGATGGGTGGACCCTACACGTGCTGAGTGCCTCTTACACGTGCTTTACATCAATCCCCTCTTTCAATCCTCTAGGCAGTCTGTGTTACTGTCTCTGAAGGGCACCAATAGATTCCTCTCTACAGTACTGAAGACTGTCAAGTGGCAGAAGGTTAAAAACACAGGGGACACTGCTTCTCCCTGTGCCTGCCTGATGGCAGGATGGCGATTAAAAAAATAAAAATAAATAAATAAATAAAGATCCTGCTACCTCCCCTTCCTTTCCTGCATACAGACGAGATGTGAGTTTTGTTCTTACTGGGGACAACTCTGAGCTCTTACCAGCTCAGAAACGAAGCCAGCAGAGATAAGAGAATCTGGGAAAAACTCGCCTTAATCTTGTCCTTATAGGATTTATGGCTCTTTGTTAAATACTAATTAAGCAAAGCCCCTAAACCACTGCTTTGACAGAAACATGTTAGAACTGAGGTCCCTCCCACATGATGGGCACAGAGCAAGTGTCAATAAACTCCTGCTAGTTTTTCTCTTGTTAATCTGACCTTTGTTTTCAGGCCAGCATCTCAACTGAGAATTTATCAGGGTTAGAAAATGAAATTAGATGTTCTTCCCTTCCTCTCTATTTTATAGATGAGGAAACTGAGGGTCATAAGGCAAAAATGTCTAAGATGCAGATTCAAATTCAAAATTCAAGCCCCGCGCCCCATGCTACCTCTGGACTTGTCCCAGGGAGGAGCCAAAAACAGTGGCCCTCTTCTCTCGGCCACAAGTGAGGGCTTAGCTTTCAGGACCAAGTGGAGAGTTGGTCTGTTTTTATAACCAAAGCAAGATGGCAGTGATGAGTTTTGATAATTCTAAATGAATGCCAAATTCAACATATAAAGCAATTACCCACAATTTTACCTTTCCAGTGTTTTGAAAGACTGGATAATATCCTTTGCATGCCCCCAAAGAAAATATACCTAGATGGAAATAAAGAAAGAAGAAAAATAGGTGAGACACTCATCATTACACTTGCAAACTTGAGAAAGTACACAACTCAAAGAAAAAGTGTGGGAAAATTCTGGGACATCAGTGACCTCCTACTCCATCTTAGGTGGCAGTGCCACTCCCCAGCGGGGACAGTGATCCAGGAGTACTATGCAGAAAAGTAAAGTGAGGCCTCTTGGTTCAGGAAGAAATGGTGCTGCAATTGACTAAGGATGTCTTCTGTGAGATGGGATGATTGATTGAGGATGTCTGCTGTGGGACAGGGTATGGAAGTAGTAGCCTGCCCATCATTAATTCTATAACTGGTTTATATCACATTAGTTTTCATCCAAGAAATATTCACTGTACAGTTACTCTGTGTCGGTGGCCAGAAAGGAAATGTTGAGGGCTTGAAATGAATAATGAAATTGATTTGGGCTGGTCTTTTATTTCACTCTGTTACATGTGCTACGTAGTCCCCTGGTTATGTAGTCACTAGCAGCAATGAAGGGAAGGGATTGAAGTCATGGATGCTATATAGCAGGCGTCCCCAAACTTTTTACACAGAGAGCCAGTTCACTGTCCCTCAGATCGCTGGAGGGCCGCCCCATACTGTGCTCCTCTCACTGACCACCAATGAAAGAGGTGCCCCTTCCTGAAGTGCGGGGGTTGGGGGGGGAGGGCGGATAAATGGCCTCAGGGGGCCACCGTAGTTTGGGGATGCCTGCTATGTAGTATCAGACCTGTGAAAATCCTGACTTCCTCACTGAATAGCCTATGGCCTTGGGCAAGTCAGGGAACCTTGCTGAATCTGTTTTCCCATCTTTGAAATGGGAATGATAGGAACTTACCCTAGAGGGTATTGTGAGCAATGAAATGAAATAATCTATGTCGATTACTTAGACTAGCTCCTGAAGAAGCATGTATGTTTTCAATAAATTCACTGATGTTGACAGGCATTATTTGGGCTTCTAAAATGTTTTGGGCTTTATTTTAGACATAAACACATATTGAGCACCTACTGCATGCCAAACACTGCTAGGCATTTTGTAACTTCATCTCATTTAATCTTTGTTTTCTAATTAAGAATTATAAAAACAAGGCCGGGCGCGGTGGCTCAAGCCTGTAATCCCAGCACTTTGGGAGGCCGAGGAGGGTGGATCACGAGGTCAAGAGATCGAGACCATCCTGGTCAACAAGGTGAAACCCCGTCTCTACTAAAAATACAAAAAATTAGCTGGGCGTGGTGGCGTGTGCCCGTGATCCCAGCTACTCAAGAGGCTGAGGCAGGATAATCGCCTGAACCTGGGAGGCGGACGTTGCGGTGAGCCGAGATCGCGCCATTGCACTCCAGCCTGGGTAACAAGAGCGAAACTCCGCCTCAAAAAAAAAAAAAATTATAAAAATAAAATCAGACAATACAAAATAAAATACACTTATACATATCACCTCTTTCACATTCTTTTACCTAAGATTTACTGTCTTACTCAGGAAAACACATTCAAGGCACTAATTGTCTGGAAACATCCAATAATAAAAATAGCAGTGACTCCTCGTTAAAGCATTCAACCCAATAACAGGGAAACGGTTAAGTAAATTAGCAATTATCGATGATTTAACATGAGACAGACATTTAATTAATGCTTTTTTATAAAAACTACCTACCAACATTAAAACCTTTTCATAGTGAAAAATTTGTAATGGGAAATTCTACGTCCATTAACTTTGACAAGAGTGCACACTGTAAGTACAAGTAACGGAGGAAATACGTAAGAGCAATAACAAATGCTGCTTTCAGTTGATTTGTTTACAGATGCATGTTTATTATCTTTTCCACTTCTTTCAGTAATGTTACATTTTGTTTTTTAAATAAATGCTTTTTGGGTTTTTTTTTTACTTTTAGAATTATCATATGGTCCAACAATACCACTTCTGCGTATATATATATATATATATATATATATATATATATATATCCAAAAGAAATGAGAGCAAGTTCTCACAAAGATATTTGTCCACCCATGTTCACAGCAGCATTATTCACAATAGCCAAGAGGTAGAAGCAACCCACGTGCCTGCAGATAGATGAGCGGATGATCAAAATGTGACATAAACCATAAAGTACCTGACGCAGGTCTCAATCTATTTAGAGGTTTATTTTGCCAAGATTAAGGACATGCACCTGGAAGACAGGTCTGTGCCTTTCTTTAAAGATTATTTTGAGGGCTTAATATTTTAAAGAGAAGGGGCAAATGTTGGGAAACAAGGAAGACATTTTTTTTAATAAAGGTGTGAGTAGATAAGAGGCAAATGGTTGCATTCTTTTGAGTCTTTGATCAGTCTTTCACATGTGAGATCAGTCTTTCACTATGCATCCATCTAGCTCAGTGAACCCAAATTTCTACATAAGATAAAATAAACACAGGGCACAGGAAGACATCAGGTGTGTATTTGTCTCAGGTGAGCAGAGGAATGGCTTTGAGTTCTGTCCTTTGTCCTGTGCCTGTGAAGATAAGCTATCCATTTACTTTGTGAGGGTGAAATTGAACACAACTGTTTTAGGGTAAAGATCTTGGAGCCCACAAGGAATTTCCTAGTGGGCAAATTGTGAAAGAGGAATGCGGCTTTTTCAGATCTTTGTGGCTGTCTTATTCGGGACTAACATGGAAGGCAGGTTTGCCTGATGCAGTTCCCAAGTTGACTTCTCTTTTTGACTTAGTGATGTGGGGATCCCAAGGTTTGCTTTTCTTTCACAGTGGTATAGACATCCAATGGAATTTTACTCAACCTTAAAAAGGAAGAAAATTCTAATACACACTGCAATATAGATGATCCTTGAGGACATTATGCTATGAGAAATAAGCCAGACACAAGAAGACAAATACTGTATGATTCCATTTGTATGGGGTATCTAGAATATTCAAACTCAAAAAGACAGAAAGTAGAATCGAGGTTGCCAAAAGTCAGGGGAGGGGAAATAGAGAATTGTTTAGTGGGTTCAGAGTTTCAGTTTTGCAAGATGAAAAAGGTCTGCAGATTGATTGTACAACAATGTGAAAGTACTTAACACTACTGAACCGTACACTTACAATGACTAAGATGGGAAATGTAAATACGTTAGATTTACTTGGAAATAGAAATAGGAATTACAATCCAGAATAATCCAGAAGGCATGGAATGCCAAGCCACCAGTGCATTCAGTGAGGGAAGGGTAAGGAGGAGCTGTTATTAGCAAAGAGAGATTTACATAAGCTGCTTAGAAACAGAGTTCACTGGTTCTAGAGGCTTAAAGCCAGAGTTGTCATCAGCTCATTGGTGGAGATGCCAGTGCTGCGCAAGTGTTCTTCCAAGAGCATCTTATCTACATTACTGCAGTCCTGAAGAATGTCTAGTAATATCTAGCCTCATCAAAGCAGGAGATGCATGAGGGTTTTAAAGAAGTCCTTGGAAACAGTTTTTATCTCAGACATGTAAGCAGGAGTCCCCTCTCCTTGGTGCCTTCCCAGCCTTGTTTTGCCTGGGTCTGACAAAAGCGATTTCATCCTGGTAGCTACAGGTTTTACACTATTTGCCACAATTTTTAAATAAATAAATGCTCTGTTTTTTAGAATACCACATACTTGTTTCATATATATATATATGAAACATATATATATGAAACATAAATATATATGAAACATATATATATGAAACATGTATATATATATGTATATATATATATATATATTCCCATTCTCCAGACACCTGATGTAGCAAAAGCACATGGTAAGTGTTCAACAGGTATAGAATGATTAATTCATTGACTTGCCAAGCCAATAAAATGCCTTAAATTAGAAAGCTGGGATCTCCAACCCACGAAGTAAAAGGGATATTTTAAAAACTCACATCTGTCGAGGTCATTACTCTCCCTAAAGCCTTCAGTGGCTCCCCATTGCCCCCAAGGTGAAGCCCAAGCCTTTAGGTGGTGGTCATCCTTGACCAAGAATTTGCTGCACGCCTAGCCCTGTGCAAAGTGCTATTCATGCACTTGTGCCTTTAATCCCTACAACGTGTGCATGAAGTACGTACTGTGATTGTCCCCACTTTGCAAGTGAGACCCATGAGATCCAAAGAGGTTAAGTAATTTGCCTAAGGCCACACAGCTGTAGTCAGAGCCAGAGTTATGCCATCTGACCAGAGTGCAATCTTACAAGCCCTGCACCAAACTGCAGATCCAGCCTGTGCCCACACATCTCCCCCTACCCCACTGTGAGGAAAGACTGCATGTCCCAAAGACACCGTCCTCCAGTGGCCTCTGACCCACTACCCTGTGCTCCTTCCTCTTTCGCAGACAGTTTGGGACCTTCCCTGGCAGAAACCGAACCGCAACCCAAGTGCCGAAATGCGCTCCTTTGTGCCCCCTCATTGCTCTGGGACACTCTGGTCAAAGCACTGAGCCCAGTGTTGTCACTGTTTTGGGTATTGTCTTCTACCTGACACCCCAGTGGAGTGTGCCACAGACCACGGCTGTGTACCCTTGTATTTCCCATACTGAGAACAAGATTCACCCAATACTTAAAGATGAACTGCATGAAAAAATGAATGAATGAACAAATGCAGTTCTTTTGGCTCGTTAAAGCTTTCCACATTCAGCAGGGTATGGTGGCTCATACCTGTAATCCCAGTATTTTGGGAGGCTGAGGTGAGCTGATCACCTGAGGTCGGAGGGTCGAGACTAGCCTGGTCAACATGGCAAAACCTTGTCTCTACTAAAACTACAAAAATTAGCCAGGCATGATGGTGCATGCCTGTAATCCCAGCTGCTTGGGAGGCTGAGGCAGGAGAATCGCTTGAACCTGGGAGGCAGAGGCTGCAGTAAACTGAGATCGGGCCATTGTACTCCAGCCTGGGCAACAAGAGTGAAACTCCATCTCAAAAAAGAAAAAGATAAGATTTCCACATTATCACTTTATCACTATAAGGCTCTGTCTTCATGGGATTTGGCATCCCTGGAATGAGCAGCCAGTTAACTTTGATCAGCTTGAGCTGCCATAACAAAGGACCACAGAGCATCAGCCTCAATAACAGGAATTTCTCATCTCAGGGTCCTGGGGCTAGAAATCCAAGATCCAGGTGTTGGCAGGGTTGGTTCCTTCTAAGGCCATTCTCTTTGGCCTGTAGACGGTCATTTTCCTCCAGTGTCATGGCTGTCCCTCTGTGTGTGTGCTGTGTCCTTCTCTCCTCCCCTTATAAAGACACCAGGGCCAGGCATGGTGCTTCACGCCTGTAATCCCAACACTTTGGGAGGCTCAGGTGGGTGGATCACCTGAGGTCAGGAGTTCAAGATCAGCCTGGCCAACGTGGTGAAACCTTGTCTCTACTAGAAACACAAAAATTTGCTGGGCATGGTGGCAGGCACCTATAATCCCAACTACTTGGGAGACTGAGGCAGGAGAATCGCTTTAACCTGGGAGGCAGAGGTTGCAGTGAGCCGAGATCGTGCCATTGCACTGTAACCTGGGCGACAAGAGCAAAACTCCATCTCAAAAAAAAAATAAAAAATAAAGACACCAGGCGTATTGAATTTGGGCAGCCCTAATGATCTTATTTAACCTCAATTTCTTCTAACTGACCCTATCTCCAAATACAGTCACATGCTCAGGTACTGAGAATTACGGTTTTGGCATGTGAATTTTACAGGGGATACAATTCAGTCCATAACAGCTTTCAAGTACAAGGCAGCCCCTCCAAATTAGTCCCTCAGTAAGCTCCCCAGCGATTCCACCAGGCCACCACTGAGCTAAACTGTTTTCAGGCTCACCGGGCACGCTCTGTCTGTTAGCTTCACTATTTGAGAATGTGTCTGATCTAGAGAAACACTCTAAGGTCATCCAGTGCTGTCTGGTAAGTCAACTGGGTGTACAAACTCAAGGTCACTTTGGATAAAAGACGAAGTTTTTAAAATGGCATCGCTAGTTTTCTAGAGGTAGAAAACTTCACAAAAAACATTCTCAAACTGGGAATCCAAAAATATTTTCAGCAATGGCAGTATCACTGAAACAAGCTCATGGTCTTCCAGGGTGACTTGTCAGGAAGAAAACAATCACTGTGTCTCCGCGGTGACTTTGAGCAAGTCACTTGTCTACTCTGAGCTCCAACTTCTTCCTAAGAAAAAAATGAGGACAGAGCCTGCCATGGGCAAATCCAGAAGATTCTGTGCTCAGTGAAATAAGGCAGACACAGAAAGAAAATTACCGCATGATCTCACTTACCTGTGGTATCTAGGAAAACATTTTTAATTGAATGCATAAAAACAGAGTAGAAGCTGGGCATGGTGACATGGGCCAGTAGTCCTAGCTACTAGGGAGACTGAGGCAGGAGGATGACTGAGCTCAATTCAAGGCTGCAGTGATCTGTGATTGCACCACTGCACTCCACTCTGGGCAACAGAGCAAGACTCTGTCTGCAAAATTAAATTAAATTAAATTAATAAATAAAAACAAAATAACATAAAGAGTAGAATGGTGGTTGGAGGAAAAAAATTAGAAGATTTTGGTCAAAGTGTACAAAGTTGCAAATATGTAAGATGAATGATTCTAGAGATGTAATGCACAATGCAATGTGAGGACTATAGTCAGGAATATTGTATTATATACTGGAATACAGGTGCTCTTCTCACACCCCAAAAAAAGAGAAAGGCACCTGTGTGAGATGACAGACATAAATATGCTTGACTGTAGTAATCACTCACTATGGCTAGGAATATCAAAGCATCCTGTTGTATGCCTTAAACATATACAAGAAAAAAGAAAATAAATGAGGCTGTTAATTCAACAGTTCAGATCCTGACTCTGATAACGTTACCAGGGATTTCTGCCAAGGGCGAACACTACACTGAAGGCCCATCTAATATTCTTTTCAACCATGAGATTTTTCTGACCCTAAGCTATGTATTTATATTCATCAAATCCTTACTTCTGAGCCACACCAAGCTTACCAGTGCTGTGGGGGGGAAAAATCCGCATACATTTCTAAAAGATTTTAATCCCCAAGTGAGAAAACAAAAGTGTTTCCATGAGTTAGAGGAGGCGCTGCAATGGTACATGGTTTCTACGTAAGAAAAATATTAAAATTTTTTTAAAAGTAAAATTGATTTTGGCAATGGTTGCATAACTCTATGAAGAGACTAAACCATTGAAATGCACACGTTAGATGGGTGAATTATATGGCCAGTGAATTCTCTCAATAAAGTTGTCATATACCCAGAAAATAAAATCCTCTCAAGCCTTTAGGATAGACTCTGGCTTGGCAGAATTTCCTGACTCTTCATCATCAGAAGGTCTGCCTCATAGGATCCCTGCAAAAATGGGTCAAGAGGATACAGTTTGATTTTGCAGTGGAGGCAGCTGAAGAACGAAGCCTCAGAGATAAATTCCAGGTCACCCTGGGACTCCCTGAGCAGTCCGCAGCTGCTCACGCTGGCTCCACGTGCCACATGCCTTGATGTTACAAGTCTTTACACACCCTGGGATACACTTCACAGGTACGAGACAAATAAATAAACATCAGTGGTTTACCTGCGACAAAGTATGCACTGCATGGGTGACAGGGAAAACTCCTTCAGTGGCGGGTAAACATTCTGAAAATCCAATGAAGTATCCAATTTTAAGGCATCCCAGGATGATGGTAATGACTGCAAACAATGTGATACTACCTGAACGTGGGATGAAGGGAGGAGTAGAAACACACACATCGCATTACTATGCATGGATGTCATTTCAAAATAAATTATATTATGTATTAAACCCTTATGTACATGGTCAAATGACTTTTCATAAGGGTGCTGAGACCATTCAATGGGAAAAGAGCAGTCCTAAGAACAAATGTGCTAGGAGAACTGGATATCCACATGCAAACGAATGAAGCCGGACCCTCACCTTACACCATATACAAAAATGAACTCAAAACAGATCAAAGATCTAAATATAAAAGCTAAAAGTACAAACTTTGTAAAAGAAAACATGGGGGAAAGCTTTATGACATTGGCTTTGGCAATAATTTCTTGGCTATGACATCAAAAAGGCAAGCAACAAAAATTAAAATAAATAAATGGAACTAAATGAAAATGAGAAAATTTTGCCCATCACAGTACACTACCAATGAAGTGGAAAGATAACCCACAGAACTGGAGAAAACGTTAGCAAATTATATATCTAATAAGTCATTAATATCCACAACACACAAGTTTGCTTACATTTGATACCTCGTATAATGAAATCCTACAGTATTGTCCTTTTGTGATGGAGTTTCTTTTACTTAGCATAATATCCTCACGGCTCATCTATACTTGATCGTGTGTCAGAATTTCCTTCCTTTTTAAGCTGAATAATATTTTGTTGTATGCCTATACCTCACTGTGTTTATCCATCCGTTGATGGATGCTGGGTTGCCACCACCGTTTGGATACTGAAAACAATGCTGCTTTGAGAGAATGTAAGGAAAATTCTTATATATCAACAATAACAAGCCAGGCGCGGTGGCTCACACCTGAAATCCCAGCCCTTTGGGAGGCTGAGACAGCTGGATCACTTGAGATCAGGAGTTCAAGACCAGCCTGGCCAACACGGTGAAACCTGCCTCTATTAACAAAACAAAAATTATCCAGGCATGGTAGCACATGCCTGTTATCCCAGCTACTCAGGAGAATCACTTGAACCTGGGAGGTGGAAGTTGCAGTGAGCCGAGATCATGCCATTGCACTCCAGCCTGGGCAACAAAAGCAAAACTCTGTCTCCAAAAATCAGTCAATCAATCAATCAATCAACAACATAGGCCAATTTAAAAATTGGCAACGGACTTGAATAAACATATCTCCAAAGAAGACATTAAAATGGCTGGCAAGTACATGAAAAGATGTTCACCATCACTAATTATTAAAGAGATGCAAATTGAAACTAAAAAATACCACCTCACACCTATTAGGATGGCTACTACAAAAAAAAAAAAAAAAAGAATAGAAAATGACAAGCATTGGTGAGGATATAGCGATACAGTGCTCTGTTGGTGAGAATGTATAATGTGCAGCTACAACTGAAAACAGTATGGAGGGCCTTTAAAAAATTCAAAATACTCTTATGGCACGATCTGGTATTATCACTTCTGAGTATATGCCCAAAAGAATTGAAAGCAGGGACCCGAGGGGATATCTGTATTCTCCTGTTCACAGCAGCATTATTTTCAGTATCCAAAAGGTGGAGGCAACCCAGCATCCACCAACAGAAGGCTGGATAAACACAGTGAGGTATAGACATACAACAAAATATGATTTAGCTTAAAAAGGAAGGAAATTCTGACACGTGATACAGTATGGATGAGCCATGAGGACATTATGCTAAGTAAAATAAACTCAATCACAAATGACAATACTGTAGGATTTCATTATATGCGGTATCGAATGTAAGCCCATTCATAGAGACGGAAGTAGAATGGTGGTTGCCAAGTGCTGGAGAGAGGGAAGAATGAGGAGTCTGTGTTTAATGGGGACAGAGTTTCAGTTTTAGAAGATGAAAAAGTTCTGGAGATTAATTGTACAACAGTATATATGCACTTAATGCTACTGAGCTGTACACTTAAAAACTGGTAAGTTGGTAAATTTTATGTATATAAATGCATGTTTTACGATTAAAAATTAAAAATATATTAATAAAATAAATTCAAGGCCAGGCATGGTGGCTCATGCCTATAATATCAACACTTTGAGAGTCCAAGGCAGAAGGATCACTTGAGGCCAAGAGCTTGAGACGAGCCTAAGTAACCCCATCTCTACCAAACAATAAAATAAAAATTACTTCTAAATAAATAAATAAATTCTACTGTTGGGCTGTGAAGGTAAAACTAGAAGTCAGGTGCTGTGCCCTATTCATCATTGTACCCACCCCATATTCCAGAGTCTGACAAATGATATACAATCAACGAAGACTGGTCCAATCAACAGAAGGCTTCTAGAAGCTTTTTCAAAATGGAGCAATCTAAGAATGTCACAGTTCTTCTCAAAAATCTCAGTTCTCCAGTCCTAAAATCCTGCTCTCTAAAGAGTAAGTGTGCAGTGTGCAGGTCATACAGGTATACAGGAATTCTCTGAACTATCTGTGCAACTTTTCCATAAATCTAAAACTTTTCTAAAATAAAAAGTTATTTATTTATTTGTTTGATACAGGTTCTCACTCTGTTGTCCAGGCTAAAGTACAGCGGCATGATCCTGGCTCACTGCCACCTCCACCTCCAGGGTTCAAGTTATTTTTGTGCCTCAACCTCCCAAGTACCTGAGATTACAGGTGTGCACCAGCATGCCCAGCTAATTTTTTGTATTTTTAGTAGAGATGAGTTTTTGCTCCATTGGCCAGGCTGATCTTGAACTCCTGATTTCAAGTGGTTCACCTGCCTCAGCCTCCCAAAGTGCTGGGATTACAAGGATGAGCCACTGAGCCCAGCCAAAAGTTTATTTAAAAAAAAAAAAAAGATGGGTAGAGGCTCTATAGTAGTAGCTGAGGAAGGGCCTGTGCTAGATGTACTGAAGAAAGGAAGCCATCTTTGATAATATAATGAGCATTGTTTTGCCCAAAATATAAAAACAAACTAATAAAAAATGCATATTAAAAAGACTGGAAAGGAATATATGAAATACATCTAGTGATGGCAGAAGGCCCCCTCCTCTTTGTTAGGCACCCAAATCCCTCCTAGGACACTCGGTGACAAATGAAAACATTAGTGAGAAAAAGGCAGTGATCATGGGCGCTCGATCAATGTCAGAGTTACTCATCTCTCTCCCGGGCCAGCGATGACCTCCATTTAAACATTTCTCCCACCAACAGAAGGAAACGGGATCAAGTGTGCTGTGCATTAAGGCACTGAGAGGAGACGGGGGCATGAGCCCTAACACTGGGCTATAACGTTACAGTCCCAGCCTGAGAAGCCTCTGCTGAAAAGTAATGCAATCGCCTGGCACTTTTCCACTGCTCAAAGCCTTATAGAAACAATTCTAACTCACATTGTTTTTTAATCCTGGAAACACCCCAATGAAATCAGAAACTTTGTAAGAGTGGAGATTCGATCGCAGTGCTTTGAAATGTTTTGACTAATACGTGGTTGGTTTTAATTACAAAAAAAAATAATAATAAATAGTAAGATGAGGCGAGGCAACATGGCTGAGTGGCGAGAGCACAGACCTGCAACTGTAGAGACCTGGAAACTCGCAGAATACATGAGTCCCTGCAAGTCACTTCCTGCTCCCAGCCTCAGGATTCCCACACAGAAAGTGAGGATGGTCTACAGCATCAGAATCACCTGGAGGGCTTGTTAAAACACAAACTGTGGCCAGGCAAGGTGACTCACACCTGTAAACCCAGCTCTTTGGGAGGCCAAGGTGGGCGGATCACCTGAGGTTGGGAGTTTGAGACCAACCTGGGCAACATGAGGAAACCCGGTTTCTACTGAAAATACAAAAATTAGCTGGGTGTGGTGGCACATGCCTGTAGTCCCAGCTACTTGGGAGGCTGAGGCAGGAGAATCACTTGAACCTGGGAGGCGGAAGTTGCAGTGAGCCGAGATCACACCACTGCACTCCAGCCTGGGCAACAAGAGTAAAACTATGTCTCAAACACACACACACACACACACACACACACACACACACACACACAAATTGCTGGGCTCCACCTCCAGATTTTCTGATTCAGTAGGTCTGGGTGGGGCCCCAAAATGTGCATCTCTAACAGGTTTTCAAGTGGGGCTGCCACTGTCCAACTGGGTCCCACTGTGAAAACTACTAGTCTAGACCATTGCTGCGGTTGCCATGCCAAGGGTTCAGTGATAAATACGTAACAGATTTTCTTATACTCTTGAAATCCTCCCTTTCTTCCTTTGTTCATCCATTCCTCCACAGATTCATTCACCCAGTTATTTATACAGCAAGTATCTTGGGGACTCCTACTATGCATGAGGCATTATGCCAAGGGCTCAAAGACAGACATATGAGATTGCTGTAGAAACAAAAATATACAAATATAATATTGCATAAATTGGGGTGTGCACAAAATATCAGAGACATGAGCTGGCAATTCACACTTTTTTTCTGTGCAGCCTGGGAAAGTAGAAGACAGTGGAAGAATCTGCCCCAAGGAAAGGACTGTACCTCAAAAGCCTTATTCCCAGCTAAGATGTTGCCCACGTGTCAGGCAAAAGGCAGAACGATGTTTGAAGATTTACAAAATGTAATTGTTTCAACAACTATTTACTGAGCAGCAACCATGGGCCAGGCACCATCCCAGGCACTGAAGATATAAAGGTCAATAAAACAGAGTTTCTGCCCTTGGGGAGTTTCACATCTAGTGGGGAAGAAAGAAAATAAAACAACAAATAATAAACATATAAAGAATGTCAGGAGTTTGAGACCAGCCTGGCCAACATGGTGACACCCCATCTCTATAAAAGTACAAAAAATTAGCCAGGTGTGGTGGCACATGCCTGTAGTCCCAGCTACTCAGGAGGCTGAGGCAGGAGAATCACTTGAACCCGGGAGGTGGAGGTTGCAGTGAGCGGAGATCACTCCATTGCACTCCAGCCTGGGTGACAGAGCAAGACTTTGCCTCAAAAAGAAAAAAAAATGTCAGGAAGTGCTAAATGCATGAAGAAAAGAAAAGCAGAGAAGGAGACTGA